CCACAGGGGCTGCAGCCTACACTGTCGCTGGTGACTCACGGCAGCCCAGCTCCAGGTTGAGCTGTTGTTCAGCATCTTAGCTGTGGAGCACAGTGTCACTGGCCCTCATATGTGGGATCCGAACTGGGGCCCTCTGGCGTCCCAAGCCAGTTCTTAACCATCGCGCCACTCGGCCGGTCCAGAGCTCGTACTCTTGAGCGAGCTCTTAACCAACTGAGCCACTTGGCTGGCCCAAAGACAATTTCTATTAGTCCTATTTTCCTGGTGAATAAAATTATGCTCAGGGAATTTGAGACTTAGCAATAGCTGACATCACTACAGCCCTTGCAGAGGTCATCACTAAACTTTCTATAAAGGTCCAGATAGGAAATACTTTTGCCCACATGGTCTCTGTCACAGCCACTCAACTTTGCTGTTGTCGTGTGAAAGCAACCACAGACAGCACATGAGCAAATGATTGTGTCTGGGTTCTTTTGCACCATTATTTACAAAAATAGGTGGTAGCCAGTGGCCATAGTTTGCCCACCCCTGGTCTACAGTGCTTTGCTGGATACCAGAGCCTTTGCTTTGTGGGATCTTCACATCCACCTTGTTATTATTCATACTGCTTCTGTTTGTTGTTAATGTATTGTGATTGTTCATGATGCTGTTCTCATCCTTATCATCTTACAAAGGAGCAATCTATAAGGCATGTCAATCAAAGTAAAGGATTTTCCTGACATCAACGCAGGAACAGGAAGTGGGGTCCAGCTTGCCTCACTCTAAATTCCATCCCCTCTCTCCCACACTGTGTGCGGAGGTTGCATGAGAGCCCCACCTTAGTCGAGCAATGTCCTTCCTGGCCCGTGGCAGGATGACAAGCCGTGTTCATTTTTCCTTTTCCTGGCTCTAGGGATTACTCCTTGGAGCATTCTCCCATTCCTCCCTGCTTTTCCCACTTACCCCAGCCCATGAACACCTCTCTCGCCCAGAGCCCCCATGGTGCTTATACCCAGCAACCTTTAATATTACTGAGAATAGAATATGCTGGAAAATGGGCTCCGGATGCGCAGTGACTGTGGTGGAGCCTGCTAGCACTGTGCTAGATTGTTTCGTTTTCGCTGTCTGCTGAAACCCCTTCTCCCTGCCTTCCACAGTCACGTGTCTACCCAGCCAAGCTTCACTTCCCAGCCTCCCTTGCAGTTAAGAACGGCTGGGTAACTAAGTCCTTGCCAGTGGACGTGATGCGTGAAGCTTCAGGCAAGTCCTATAGCCAGTGGGCCTGCCTCCTTCCTGTTCCTTTTCCTTCCCGCTGGCTGGGCCCAGCTTTGGCCTTGTGATGATGAGGAAGTGCTGTGAGATGACAGCATCACAAACATAGAAGGTGCCAGTGTCCTAGAATGATGCTATGGAGCAGAAAGCTACCTGTTGACCTGGAAGTATTCCAGGTCACTTTATGCTCTTATTTGAAAGAGCAGTAATCTTTGTTCCTAAAGCCACTAACTTTTTTTTTTTGGAGCGGGGAGGTGAGAAAGTTTGGGGAGGTTCATCTGTTTGTTAGAGCCAGCCCTGCACTTATACAACCCTGAAAGTGAAAGCCTCCTTAAATTTTGTGCCCTGGGTGCCTCACTTGCCTCACCTTAGTCCTGACACCCTGTTCAGTATATATTTTTCTGAGCAATGAATCATTCACTTGAGCTTTACAATACTCCCCCCCCCCCATGATATGCCAGTGCAGGTCCTTTAATTGCAAGTCTCAGGGACCAATTCTGGCTCACTTTAGCAGAAAAGGAGTTATTGGCAGACTAGTGTTGAATTCACAGAGGCGGCAGGAAGCTGGAGAACAAGGTTTAGAAAAGAACAGAGACTGGAGACACTTTGGGTGTTTAGATAGCCAAAGTGAATCAGTTTCTTGATCAGATTTCTCTTTGATCCGAGTCCAAGTCCCTGGAGCAAGAGTCCAATTGGTTGAGCTTGGGTAACATGTCCTCCCCTTAGCTTAAGAGGGTGGGCACCTGGATGGACAGCTCCACCAAGACTGCACACAAGGCAAGGGTTCCAGATCCCTCCACCTCCACTCCCAGCTGCTACCCCTGGGCAACTGAGGCCACGTGCCCTATTTTCAGGCTGGGATCAGGTAGAAGTGCCTGAAGCTGAATGTTATGATTACAACAAACCCAACACCGTGTCTGGCACATGGTAGAGCATAATAGTTAAGATCCCTGGGCCCTATAATCATACAGAGCTCTCTGCTGCTTACCAGCTGTGCATTCTTGTGTGAGTTACTAGGTCTCTCGGAGCCTCAGTCTCCTCATCTGTACAATGGGGATAACAAGAGTACCGACCTTAATGCGTTGTTTTGAGAAGTAAATGAGATACAGTAAATGCACAACACTTAGCACGGTGCCTGGCGCATGGTAAGTATGCAATAAATTGCAGGTAGTTTAAAAAATTACAGTGGGCCTTCAATAAGTATTTATAGTGTGAGCGAATTATCTAATATTTTGAGTTCCTCTAAATTCACATCTGAAACTGGAATGTATCCAAATACCCCTCCCAGTTCTCTAATCCATGACCTTCCACATCTGTATGGTCTGTCATCCCCTGTGTGACCTCACTTCCCTTCTTCTCCCGCTTAGAACCCTGGTCTTCATTATAATCACGCCGTCATGTTCACCCTCAATTCCTGTGCTCCTTTCTCCCTCCATCTACTCACCTGGAAAATCCCAACTCTCTTTAACCCCAACTCGCCACCTGTGCCCAGCAATGGATGGGGGCCAGCGAGAAATACAGGACCTTCTGGCTCAAGTGGGGCCTCCCCACTGTGGGGCCATTCTACCATACTTATTTCCTTGGCCAATGAATGCACTCTCACTCACCCAGAGGCTATCTCACATCTTCTCCTCTCTTCTGCCTTCATCTCCTCACTCTCGTTTGATGAACTTCTCATGTCTCTGACAGAAAAGAAAGAGAGGAAAGAAGCAATAAGGAGAAAACCATCTCGTCTGCTCTTTCCGTTGCCAAATCCACCAATCTACCTGCATTGGCATCTGAGTGCTCGGCCTTCTCTCCTGTTACCATAAATGTACCTCTTCGGATCTTCTGTGAGGGCAACCCTGCAGGTGTACCCTAGATTTCA